GCGGCGGTTCTCCCGACACCTTCTCGTCACTCGAGCGAGGAAGCAAGGTGGCTAACCGGCCGGTCGTCCAGGTCCGGGAATCGCGCGGTTTCCCGACGCGCAAAACAGAATAACAGAGCGTCACGCTGCATTGCGCCGCATTGAATCTCTCGAATCGAACACTCGCGTATCCGTCTTCGTCGAGAAGTGGATCAGTGGGTGATCCGATCGGGCGGTCAATCTCTAATCGTAAAATCGATTGGTTCCACGCGGAAGGATCGAATGCGTAAATTTTTCATGAAGACACTCGACTGTAGGTGGAAAGTCGAAAGGTTTAACAGAGAGAATTAGCTACCAGGAGCATTTCACAAGTCCTAAACGGGCCGTAAGGGATTTCGAGAAAATATCAGTTTTCCAAACGAAACTGGCTGATTACAAAGAGGAACTCTTACTTAGATAGATACAGGATCCTAAAAAGTCCACGTGGAATTTCAGTAGAACGTCGAATGGGCTAAAAAATGAAGAGGATTTGGATACTATATAGAAAAACTGATTGAATACGGCGTAACCTTTGAATTTGATTCGTACAATTGTTGGAGATAAAATGGAGTCGGTCACATCTCATGAAAATGAGATATGGCCGAATTCTTCAGTCGCGTGCGACCGTCCATTTACGCGGATTTGCTCTCTCTTGCTCTCTCTCTCTCTCTCTCTCTTTCTCTCTCTCTCTCTCTCTCGCGTGAATTCCGAGATGCAACGGAAGCTCATCTGTCGTCTCTCGATTCTCACGCAAAAGGACATACGCGTCAGCCGCGTGATCGGTGCACCAAACAAAACTCGTTGAGTCAACGCGCTGAGAATGGGCGCGGCTCGGAATGTCGATCGTTCCGAAGGCACGGGACGAGAGATGGGAGATCGAGACAGGAAAGAAAGAAAGAAGAGAGGAGAAGAGAGGAGAGGAGAGCCGGCCCGAGTTGGGCCGAGAGAAAGAGAAAAGCGCAAAAAGGAATGGGATATTCGCTAAATGAGATTCCGCTGAATCTGAGATAATCTGATTTAATCGGCGACGTGCTTCAGCTGCTTAGAATGACCTCGGTAACAACGTCAAAGACAAGAGATGCATAAATGATGAGTTTCTTCGCGAAAAATAAAAATTATCATGCAGGCCGAGTCCTTCTCTGCGAGTTGAAAATCATTAATCGCGAAGCAGTCGGACGGAATTCGTTGTACAAATCGTATACTATAATCGTACTGAATGGATGTGGCGGCACCTACATGCTGGATGACGTATAGAATGTCCGCGCGTGCCTGTTATTTAATAATTCCTATTCTTACATACATCCGTGGATATGGATTTTTGCGTTGCGCAGGAAGTTACATCAACATTGGAATATTTCGCGTGCTGCGTTTTGCGTCAAGTCGTGGCGTAATCGCGTAACTCGCGACGCCAACGAATTGATTTATCATCCTATTAAAAAGTTTCTTATGTTAGAACTAAATATTGTGATGCTGTCAAAAGAGAATACTGCAAGAGATAAAATATTTCATCTCCAAAATAAATGGGCAGTTACGCAAATCTGTTATTTTGTCAATAAATATATGTCTAAGAATTCGATATGATTGTAATTTATAAGCGATCTTATTTAAAAATTAGAGAAAATTTATATAAATTTAATCTTTTTGGCTTTAATATATGTACATTAATTTCTTTAAGCTTTTAAAGAGATTCGTATTATCAAATCCTCTTTAAGTGGATACTTAAAAAAATAAATCTAATCTAAAAAATAATCTAAATCTAAATCAACCGAGAGAAACGCAAACCCTCCAATTTATTATTGTTTCAAAAATTACTAGAAAATAGAAATTACTGGAAAAGAAAATTGTTTACGAACGTACGAAAAAGAGGTGTGATTACTTTATTTTTAAACAAATATAAAGTTAATTACATCAGTTGCAATCGTTTCGATATATGGCCTTTTAAATCATTGAATGAATGACACGGATCAATTGCATCAAGTATTTAAAATGTTTGATTGACTTGATGTTTTTGTTATAAAAAAGAGAATGGATCAATTTCACTTAGTTAGATAACACAAACCTCTCAGTGTCGTCTTTAATAGTCAAGGTCTGCCATGTTCAAGTTAAGTGAAGTTTCTTGTTTCTTGAAAGAATTAATTAAAGACTTTTGAGCATCCCTCGCTAATATTCGTTTCAGCTAGAATTTTTTTAATTACCGCTGACATCTCGATTCCACGGAGAACTCGTGAGAACAACGTCCGACTTTCAACGACCCTAGAGGGTAAACTTGACCTTCGACCCGTACATTCACCCATAAGAAGGACGGCGGAAGCCATGAGGAATTCTACTTCCTATTTTCCCCTTCTTGAGGAAGAGCACATTTCTCTTGGAACCTCTAATAGAGATTACGCAATCTTTCCGTTAATTAATGCTACTTTTCGCTAGCTACTTCGCTTAATTAATAGTTATTTGTAGGGGTCCTCTTTCTAATTATTCGATTGTTATTTCAATTGACAAAATCGTTGTGTGTGGAATAATTTTTTTTATATCCCTCCTTCCAACGATAAATTGGACGAACGTCTTAAAATTACTGACGTTTCGAAAAAGCAAAGAAATTACAGACCGAATTCGTGCGTTTTATTTCGTGGTCGAAATTCTTCTATGTGCGAAAATTCGATAATATCGCTGCGCATATCTTCGCAACTCTTTGTTTCTAGAAATTATCCTGAGATAAGAACTTGCTTTTTTCTTCCATTGAGTGCTTCTATTTGCTTTCTAACATTAATTTATTTAATTATACTTTTCCCATTAGGCAATCGTGAAAATTTTCGTAGTTATCATAAAAATGAATGAAACTATGTGAATCTTTTAATATGAAATGTTGAATTAATTTAATTAACAGCTTAATTAAATGACTTTAAGTAATTGTATATTTTGACGTGTTTATTTTAAATATAGTTCATCGTTTTAAATGGATCGTGGTTACTCGAAAGTACGATATAATAGTAACGATAACACATCATTATATAGAAATTACTATAATGGACCGTTGACTTATTATAGATCGGTAAATATCTGTTGTGGTCAGAAATGAGATTATAACGATGTCGGAAATTGTACCCATTAGCGCGATACAATTACGTGTCACTATGTACAAACGCAAAAACTGCAAGATTGTCGTTATCATTGGAAAATAAGGGATAGGACTGACTGGCGAAAGCCCAAGGATCACAGCTGTGCCGCAACGTACTTTTTTTTAGCAACGTATTCACATCCTTAAGGATGCGGAGGAAGTAGAAGAAATGAGATTCACGAGCACGGGCGGCTGATGACAGCTTCGGCCGCCAGAAGTAACGAGATTCGGATGCGATTCAACTTCGGGCAGGAAGATGTCCATTTTCATAAATGATCGAAGCGCTCTTTCAGCACGGGGGCTGTCCGCGTGTGCAGCACTTTCATTAGAATTTGCATAAGGATTCTGTACTGAGATGAGGAGCACAGGCTACAGTATGGAGAGAAGAGCGGCCGCTGCCAAACTGAGTTAAGCTGCAACGACGTTGATAACGCTTCGCGACGTCGCGAAAATCCATCATCAAATCCCACGCTTTCGCAATTCACTTTAATTTTTCTTTTCTCAATGCCTCAAATTGCATACATTAATATAACGCGAGTCCTTGCAAACGAACAATTTCCATTGTGATGCGTTCTCATAAGAGATTCTTCAAAGCGCGCGTACGTAGAACGCTTCGTGGCAAAGTCACGTGTTTTATTTACCCGTTGTCGAAATCTCGGCTCAAGAATTCAATAGGATGCCGTATCTTCACAATTTTTTCTGTGAATTATCTTTGGGATAAAAATTTGTTCTTTCCTCCCTTAAACACAGAAAAGACATAATTGAAAAGAATGAATCTTATTTGAAATCTTGATGTCACACGGAACGATATGCCATTTTTTGGGTTGCTTTTATTGCTTTAGAAAAATTGGTTACGGTAACGATTTCAAATCCAAGCTCAATGCCTTTGGAATGCAGACCTACGTGATCACGTAAAAGAAAGTGCAGCGAATGCTTCTTGAGAAAAAACAGGGAGAATAGCGAAAGAATTTGTTTAAAATAAAAATATCAGTAGAAATGTATTTTATATGCATCCATAAGTTTGTAATAAAGTACACATTAAATTGATTTTAATCAAGGCAATGTACATTACAATGACGAATATCCTTTTTTACTCGGATACTTATTTTCGGATATACATTTCTAAAGAGTAAAGCCCTTATATAACTAAAATCTAGTGTTTAATTAATTTTGCATCTAACAATTATGTCCATTTCATTTCCAGTAAAGATTAACTTTAATCTTGATTTAACTTATTCACTTTATTATTTTTCTATTTCTCTAGAGAATTAGAAAGCACAAACCGAATCTCTTAAAAGTGGTAGAATGCGATAACATGAACCGCTTTGTTCCTTTTCCTTTTCCTTCTATTTTTAGAAAAGGATATTTGGGAAAGGGAGAGGGAGACGTTGATCAAACGGTATACATTCGGTATGTATTCGAAGTTCGAATGTAATTCAATTTGTTAGCTTTATGAAAGCTATATCTCAGCGTAGAAATATACTAGAACTTCGAATACATATATTATTTGACTTCATCGATGCTCCCCCTCCCCCCCCCTCCCCTCTCCTAAATATTTTTTTTAATGGAAAGAAAAGGAAGCAAAGTGATTTATGTTATTGCGCGTTTTTCTACTTTTCAGAGATACATCTTACTACGTACTGAGTGAAATCTCGACAGGCAGAATTGACGGATGTTCCTGCCAATATCAAAACCTGATACGAACCTGGATCTGTGCGCGCTTGACCTCGGTGTAGAGCCAGTTGTCCGTGGAGAAGGCGATCGCCAGCAGGGCAGTGGCGATTATACCGGTTATGGTGGCAAGAGACAGCGTCACTGCGGAGCACGGCATCTTGGTATTTTATCTCCGATATCTCTTCTCGTTCTTTCCTTTCTCTCTTCTTCGTCGAATATATCCTCGGTCTCTCTTTTACTCCCGTCTCTTCCGTTAGCTTCACCTCGCATTCACCGCGATTACGTGGTGATTATTGCTACCGACTGTACATGGGCATCAGCGCGAAGAAGAAGCTGCTACGAAGCGCACGAACCACGAACTGCGAAGGAGGAGAGCTGGACCATGGGATTGGGGGATTTTTGGAGAACGCGGGCACGCGGCTCTCTCGGATCTTGCTCGATCTCACGCGAGCACCGGGGGATGAAAAGGCTATATTCGATAGCGGGGAGTCAGGGGGAGGAAGGGGTTCAACTTTGCCTTTGTGCGTAATATCCACGTACTTCGCTGTCCTTCAGGATGCGCACTTCGTCGCGATGCACATCACACCACCATTCCAGTCACAACGGCAACGATACTAACGGCTTGATTCCCGACTCACCTCGAAGGAAAGCCAGCCGGAGAGCCGGCCGAGAGAGCAAGGAGAGAGAACCGGACCTCAGGTGGGGATGGACTCGTAGCCTCGGGCAGGTATATTACCTGTGTTTTACCTGCAGCGGTGCTCAACGCGCACGACCTGTTGCTGTTGCACCTGGCATCTGGCGCTGCTGATGACGCGGGAGGGAAGAATTGTCGAGTCTTATCGCAGGAATTCCTGAAGATATTATCGCGACGATGTATATCACTCAACATTGCCACGGCGGTACATTTAGCGCGTTTGAAACGAACACGTTTGAATTGGAACGTGTTTCAATCTCGATGATATTGTGACACCTTTCTTTTTGCGAATCGCGATACGAGGTAGATTTCTACAACATAGAAGATCGAATTCTTCAAAATTATATCTGTCTTGAGTCTTATTATCATATTCTGCTGTTAAAGATCCGATCGAGTTAGAATTCCGTTTCATTTGGATTTTCTTCAGATTTTCTATGAAATATGTATTCCTACGAAAGAGAGAGGACGCAGTTTCTCGATAATATAGCTATTAGAGTAATACGGATTTTATCAATATATAGATATATCTTTACATGCAGATTATCAGGTCGTCGCTATAACTGTTTAGAATCGGTCGAAGTAAAAGCTTAGGAAAGTTGCGAATGCGTTCAACGAAATGAGAACAGTTTCTTCGAGGCTGTGTACCTGTGTGAACCGCTCCTGCCTCGTCTCTGTGGCGAACGATCCCACCACTATTGTGATATAAAGTCAGCATAAACACCAGGGAAAAGCGTAGGATTCCGCGCATTCTGTGAACTCTTAGATCGTTCATGATTCACAGGGTATCGCCGAGATCCAGATCGTCAGCTCTTTGCTTTCGTAGACACCTGCATTTATTTCTAAAAAGGGAAGCTTTTTCGCTATTCCTTCTTTAATATAAAATAATTTGCAATAAAATTTTTTTTATATATTATCAATATCAATAAATTAATACTATTAAAAAATAATTTACTTATTTAGGGTTACTCTTTTTCTCAAAGTGTAATATCCAAATACGAAAGTGCAATAATTTATATTATTTTATTTTAAAATATGTTGTTATTTTCATAATATTAAATATATAAACATATAAGA